GTAAAAAAGTCAGACTGCACACAAAGCAGTTAACACTTTAACCAAATTATTTTGCCTATGTGTACTTTTTTTATGTGTGCACGTGATATGATTTTAAAATTATGTCTAAGCCTAAAATAGCTCCTACATTAAGTATAAAATAACTATTTTGTTGATTAAAAAAAGCACATACGTAATACAGTTTAACTGGCAGCATTTTTTTCCTTAATGGTGCATAAAATAATGGTGCATCTTAAAGCCATTGTTATCTGAGAGGCAGTAAGCTATGACATTACCAAATTCTAATGTATCTAGCTTTATCTTCATTAATAATTATTTCCTCAGACTAACTGTTAAGGATTGGGTTCACTCAGCCAAGAATATTTTTGCCATATGCTGCCAGAAATATTCTACAAAATATTGCAATTCTGTAATGAATGTCCCTATTTTTTAAAACTCTCACATTCATTGTAGTGTACCCATTTATTTTTGCTAATTTTAATTAACAAAAATAGTAATACATAGTGGTTTTAAGGTTTTTAAATGATCAATATTGAAAACATTTTTTAATATTTCTTTACTATTTGATTCCTCATCCAAATAAAGTCTATTCCTGTCATTTGTTCATTTGTCCATCTGTATGTAGTGAGATTAGAGATGTACAACTCTCTCTCTGTTTTTATACTTACACCTTTTAACATGTATTACAAATATTTTCCCCATTCTGTTGCTTCCCTTTTTATCTGTCATTTTTGTTGTTTATTATACTGCACTATTGCATCCTTATTTAAATGTTTCTGTCTTTACCTCTATATAGTTTTTATCTACTGTTTTAAAAGAGAAAATAATCTCCCCTCCACAGTTAATAAGTGTTCACTCCAGTTTTATCCTGTCAAGAATTTATATGGCAAGATGATGCAAGATATAAATCTCCTTTTGCATATTTTCTTTGGGGTTTATGTATTATCTGGTTGATGGTTTCAAAGACACAGGTTTTGTAAAGCTTTTGAACAACGTCTAGCTCTTTGTTTCCCCCTAGACAGGTACCTATTCTCACTTTGACCACAGTGAGGCACTGTGCGACTCTAGACTGGTACAATCATTTCTCTCCTATTTTTCATACATATCAGGAAGCTTGAGAGTATGTTGACCCCCTCTTTTGGCCGTGCCTAACATAGCTTAAAATAAAAAACAAATCACAGCAGAACTTTCATTGTGTCATTAAGAGTTAATGTTTACCCAAATTCCAACAGAGACTTATTCACAAAAAATATATTCCTGAAATCAGAAGTCTGTACATAAAACATTTTAGGCAAAATAAATTATTTAGAAAAAGAAAAGAAATCTGGCCATACATGTGAATTTCATTTTATAAGAGCTCCTATTTCCCAACTAATTCTTCTTTAGCTTGTATAAATCATGTTAAGTAACCCCATCTTTAATCACTCCATCACAAANCAGGAATTGGAAAGTAAGTTCAATCACAGGGCCAATGATTCAATCAATCAAGCTTATGTAGTGATACCTCAATAAAAACTCTGGATACCAAAGTTCAGGTGAGCTTCCCTGGTTGGTAATCATGCATCAATCACACATGCCAGGGAGGCGACATGGCCTAAGGACATGGAAGCTTCACATTTGGGACCCTCCCAAGCTTTATCCTAAGTGTCTCTTCACTTTGCTGGTTCTGATGCGTAATCATAAGTAGAGAACTTTTCTGAATTTTGTGAGTCATTCTAGGGTATTACCAAACCTAAGGGGATAGTGTGAACTCCCTAAATTGTGGCTAGTTGGTCAGAAGTGCAGATTGCACAGGAACCCCAGAAGTGGCGGCTGGTGTCTGAGGTGACAAGTTTTGTAGAAGACTCTGCCCTTCACCTGTGAAATGTGACCTAACTCCAGGTAGTTAGTGTAAGAATTACATTGTACAGTACAAATTTCCATCTACAGTAAAACAGATACATGAATTGCGGTACATTTGTACAATAGAATACCAAATAGCAATGAGAATGAACAAGTTACAATAACACACAACAATATGGATGAATCTCACAAACACAATGCTGAGCAAAAGGTTCCCACCCGCCATAAGTGTACATATCACAATTCTATTTATATAAAGTTCAGTCACAGCATATCATATCTGTGGTATGGAAGTCAGGAGTCATTATGCTTGGGAGCGAGGAGGAATTGGAAGATAGCACAAAGGGACTTCTGGGGTAGTGATCATGTTCTGTTTCTTGACCTGAGTACAGGTTACACAGGTATGTTCCCTTGTGAAAATTCATCGAGCTGTGTACTTATAATTTGTACACTTTTCTGTGTGGAGATTATACTTTGGTAACATTTACATTAAAAACAAAGTCAATGTCTGCCTTGCTATGTCCCCAGAGATGATTAAATCTAGATAGGGATCATCTTTTGATCTAGGCTCTAATTTAGTATTTAGAGGTTTTCATTATGTTAAATACTATTTTCCAGCACCCATGAAAGAAATATAAATATTTCATTGTCATTTGATCCTAGAATTAGCGATGTGTAGCTCTAAAAAAAAANTCCAGCCCATTCAGAGGAGCTGGTTCAGCCTCATCAAACTGCTCCTTGGGGGAAAAATGTAGCAAGTCCTGAAATTACAATAAACCAGGAATTATTTCCCTACCTAGATAGAGATTAGTGCTAGGATGGTCGGTTAAGGTTTAGTACGGCTGCTTATTTTTTACATAGCTAGAGACACAATGTTCAGAAAAAATATTCTCCTTCTGGGCAAGTTAATTAGTTAACTATCCACAGAATGTAAAAAGTATGAGCTATTTCAGATCACTTCATGAGGAAAACACTGTGACAGGACTCTTGTGGAACATTATAATTTTAATTATTTAGACTAATTAAACAGAGTCCCCCAATAATATCTCCAGACAGTTTCAAATCTTTAGGGCAGCAAAGTTAGGTTTTGTTGTAAGTAATATTTGAAAATACATTTCCTTTTTTTGCCTTTCTCTAGTCACACTTTAATTAACAGGCAGCAAAGCACTGACATGACAGGGCTGCCAACCTCTGAAGGATATTTGTATTTAAATCCAATAATAGTTCTGTTAAGTCCTCTAAGACAGCGTCTAAGAAGTAGTGCTTTCCCATCCGTCCCAGTACCTGTGTCCCATCATCACACTTCTCCCCATTTTCACTGGTTATTTCCAAGCGGATAAATTTTGGAGGACGCCCTGGCCGTCGACCTGGGCCAAATCGCCTCTTGCCTCGTCCCCTTCCTCTGCCTCTTGTTCTGGGGACAAGAGATTGGGTTATACATCATCATGGTTACATAATACTCTATAACAAATATTTCCGTAAATAATCCTGATTAGCCCCAAATCTTGATTTCCTCTCACTTTATTACATTTCCTGACTGTTTTTTTTCTAATGGAAACACTTGTTTTGCTAATATACACTTTCTAAATTTCTCATCTTTGCTATCTATATAGCTCGAAGAGATGTCTTAAATTATTTTTTTAAAAAGAGCTATAAAGGGTCAAAGTACTGACAACATTTTGCTACTAAAAAATTAGAAAGCAGGAGCACATCTCTTAAGTGATGTGAGAAATGCAGACAGGACAGAACATACTACGCCTTACAGCATGTTCCTAGAGACAAAATTCCATTCTTTCCTCCCTCTCCTTGCTGTACCTCAGACTCCTTCCAAGAAATGTGGCTTTCTAAGATTCAAAACAACTTTTTACTTTTACTATAAGCTCCTAGAAGGTCAGAACAAATTTCTAATTCAACTGTTCCATAACATGCCCAGTAAACACCAAATAAATTGTATCCCCTTTAATGGATTTCTAACACAAAAAAATTCCTTAATAAAAGGGATTCAGAAAGTGTCATTAAAACCTCTTTTAGAAGATGTGTGTGAGATACGTATAAAATGAATCAGATCATGCTATATTCTTTCACTCAACTATTTAACAATTTAACAAAATTTATATATTTTTCCAGTTTGTTTTAGAAGATTCTTTATTATGGAAAATTCTGAATCTAGGCAAATGTAGAGACTATCATAATGAGGCCAACATAACTATTACATAATTTCAATACTGTCAACTCATGGCCAATTTTATTCCATCTATATCCCCACTACTTCCTCCCACACATACCCAATTAGATTATTTTGAAATAAATCCCAGACATCATTTCATCTATAAATATTTCAGTTTGTATCTCTAAAACATAAGGAATATATATACATACATATACAATACAGATATATGTATGTATATATCCACAATACCATTATTACACACACACACACACACACACAAAAAAAAAACAACCTGATAGTTGCTTCAGTATTATTAAATCTAGTCAAAGTTCAAATTTTCCTAATTGTCTCAAATTTCTTTTCACAGTTACTAACAACCATTTTTGTCTACTATGTGTCACGTACTATGCTAGGCACTAAAGATAGCAAGTTATGGGCCGGCTGAGTGGTGCATTGGTTAAGAGCTGGCTTGGGACACCAGAGGGCCTTAGTTCGGATCCCACANCAGGGAGCAGGTAAGGGACTTCTCTGGGACACTGCGGTGTAATCCCGAGTGTGACTCGGGGTTACCACTTCTGGCAGTGAAAATTAACCCCGAGCCACACTCGGGATTACCGCCAGGGTGGTTAAGAGGCCTGCCTGCCCAGTCTCCCCAGCGGCTTCAGGTATGTAGGTAACAAACCCTTTCATACCCTCTTGGTTCATGTGTAGTATCATTAGTCTCAACATCTGAACTCAATTTGGGGTGGGAGTCCCTCCAGCCTTGCCAGGGAGGCCATAACATAGCGTAGACAATGATTTGACCTATCTTCAACCACCTCACTGTTAAAACTAAGTACAGTTGGTAAAATTCCGTGGTTAACAATTTTCCTTTTACACAGAGAGGCTGAGGTGTTTAAGAATGAAAGAGATGCCTATTTGTTTCATCATGTTGAAGTTAGTCTTTTGCAAAGAAGATAAAGTTTGAGTCATGCATAGGGTTAAGGCTACCTTAACCAAATACACTGGCAGAAAACCTTAAAGAGTTCTCTGACCTCCAAAAAAATATATCATGGGTTATATACCACCCCTAATTCCTTTTATCCACTCTTATTTCTCCTGCCCAGTTAGCACCCTAAGTCATACTCAAGCCATGTCCCCTTCCCATTCAATAAAGCAAGGTTTTTTTAATGCCTGCTCCCTTTATCTTTATCTTCCTATATGTTGTTTTCCTCACCTAGAATGCTCCTCCCACGCCAATCTTCTAAACCCAGTATCATGCTCCAATTTCTCCATGAACCATCTCCGACTGCTTTAGTCCTCCCTGATTTTCCTCTTCTCTGATCTCACTTGGAGTCATAGAATCCCACTCTACAACATCATTCAGCCTGAGCTTCCACATTTCATCACTTCACAAGGCAGCCCAATCATTTCGGAATAGTTCAATGATGGTTTCTGTGGAGTTAAGATCTCCCTGTACGTATGTATGTTCTATGCATTGGTCAGGACTTATGACTCCCCTCTCAAGCTAGATAGCAAAAATCTAACTCTTCTGCCAGATGAAGGCAGTTCTGCAAGTATTTCAAGATCAAAAAGCCCTTATTTATTCAATCATTTCTCACATGGCCAAACTTCCAGATCTCTCACCATTCTATTATCTTCATTTAGTCCTCAGTAGATTCCATATCTTTATGAAGATAGCATCAGCTTGCATTCCCACTTATTATGGCCACTGTTCTACTGCTGACCCATTTTGAATCCGCAGATAACTAAAATCCCTGAGTCCTTTTTTCTCATAGAATGCTATTAAAACATTTTTCTCCTCCTCGGGGCTTAAATAGCTGATTTTTACTTAAATGGAGGGGATTTTGCATTTATCTCCAGTAAATTTCATTTTATTACTTCTTCTGTTCTTCCAGTCTGCCAAGATCTTTTAGAATCTTGATTCTGACATCTCACACATTAGCAATCCCCGAGAGCTTTGCATCCATTGCCAAACACCATCTACTTTTCAATTAGTGTGCATTTTCATGTGAGTCCATCCTGCCGCTGCAACTGCACCTCAGGGAAGTAGAGCAGGAGCTTTCGAATCACATTTGAATTAAAATCCTGGCCCACTACTTAGTAAGTTAATAAAGTTCTCTGAACCGCAGTTTCTATATCTGTAAAATGGACATAGTAACAAATCTGTACTTTATAGACTGTTGTGAAGACTAAATGAAACAATACGTTTATGAGGCCAGTAGTAGAGTGTCTGGCATTTAGTAAGTGCTTAATGTTAGTAATAGATGATTATTATTATCCTAAGTTCTGTAAGGACGGGGATGACATCACATACTTCCTCTACACCTTAAAAGACTGCTGAGCATTAGGTATGCAACGAAGATTAGTTTGTGAAAATATATTTGGCCCTTTGGGAAATGACATCAATCCCTTTAGGCATCTAAAGGAACTCTGCTGCTAGTCACAGAAACATCTTTTTTTAGGTGTACATCTAAGTCTGAGAACTTCTTAAACTCTATAATGAAACAATATTGTGTGTTTACAGAGCATGAGTGCTACAGCAGTTTAAGATCATTGCCCAACATTTGAAATACTCAGGTTCCAGAAAGCAGATAAAGTCAGTTACCTCAAATAGCATATGCATGTTTTAACATGCATTCATTTAACCCANATTCTGAGACAACAGATATTTTGCAGACAAAGAACACTAAATGTTTCTAAAGTTTGATATTAATAGCTTTAATATCAAACTTGTTGATCAATTTTCCTATTACTTTGATCCTGTCACTAAAAGGAAATCAGTCGTGTTTGTTTGATGGCTTTCTTTTTTTAAACAACTTTTCTCTGGCCTATATTATGCCCAGCTTTCCAGGCCTTTGGTGAGCTAGCCCTGCCTATCATATCTCACTCACCACTGTCCTTCACCTGGCACCCCATCCCAGGGTCAAGCCAGTATGTGTACTGTCCCATAACCATACCAAGCACATTCCTGTGTCTCAGCCTTGATCCTATGGCTGTCCTCCTCTGAAATGGTTGGCTTTCTTCATGCCTGTTTTTCAAAGACCAGTTTAAGCCTCACTTCACCTATGAACTATTCCCTGACTCCACCTTTTTTTGGCTTTTCACTCTTCCAAGTTCCGATGGCAATTATAGGCTACACTTTTAAATTTAGCACTTTACTGTAAACCACCTTACATTAGATTGTAAGCTCCTAGAGGACAGGACTTAAGTGAAAATTCTATTGTGTATCTAGCACAGTGCTGAATATATAGTTAGAATTCAATACTATTCTATAAGTCATTCCAACAGTTTCAGAGCTGGAATGGACCTTGGAGATCACTTAGTCCTGCCCTTCATTTTGTATATGAGGAATCTGCAGCCCACGATTTACTCACTGATCTATTTGAAAATAAATGATCATTATTCATTAACTAATTTGCATTTACTGTAGCAACCAAACTGTAGTCTTCACCAGGATTTACTAAGTATAGGTTGCAAAGAACAGCAGGTAAGGCAAACACTTAAATAACATTCTGATACGTGAAACACAGGAAACAAACCTACCTGCAGCTCCAACTGAGCAGGCAGCATTAGAGGAGAGAAAAATAGTTACATTACCAATTGGATTGGAAGACTTCCCTTAGTTGGTCATTACCAATCTGGATAGAAAAGATGAAAAAATACATAGCCCTACTTTTTAGAATGTGTGAGAGGAAAAAAATATATAGCTCAACTAAGACTGACCGCCTTTTCAAAAGCCACATGTACATGGATTTGCTTTGACACAAGGAACCTTGTACCGAAACCAGTAACCCAACTCTTTCCAGAATACAAGTACAATTATAGCTAGACTATGCTTGGACATCCACAACCTCACTACACATGTGGGCTTTAGTTTCCNTATGAATATAAAAAAACAAAACAAAACAAAAAAAAACAACTATTCCTTACCCCTGGGCGTAATGCCTTCACGTAGGCCTTTGATATGCCCAAAAGTTATACATTTTTCATTCTGCTTTACTTATAGGGCTATTATAAGTGTACGGTACATAGCAGGCATTCAACAGGTAAATGAATTACAAGGAAAGGACCATTTTTGTAAGAATCCCACTTCAGGGGAAAAAAAGTAGGAAAAGCATTAAACAAGCATGATTTCTAGCAGAGGCCCCACTGATGCAGCGCCATACCTTAAGTTCCTGCTTGGGTTCTACATTCTTTATTGTTGTATAATACACATGGTGGCCATATTGATAAGCCACCAGGTTCTGCTCCAGGTGATTCTGGGCTGGACGTACAAACATCATCCAGTTACAAAGGGTCTCATCAGATAACTCAAACCATAGGTCTTCATGCAAATCCCTGTCTTTTCTGTCCCCTTTATCAAGAGAAACCTGTAATCAAGAGAAAGTTAAAAAACAAAATAAGTAAAACCTTCAATATGATATACATTAATGTCATAATACACAAAATATTGCTCTTTAAATTAACCATATATCCTGCTTGTTCCCTTTGTACAAAACTGGAATTGTGTTTTGCCAGATGTAAAAGGAAAAGGATACTCTCCGAAGACCCACCTATAGGAGAATTACCTGGCAAAACCTGAAAGTTAACAACCTGATTGTATAGCTTCAGTTGATGTTTCATCATTAACTAACACATCAAAAATGCTACAAATAAGCCAAAAAATACAAGCAAAATACTCTCCAGTTCATTATAACTTGCTTCCTTTTGGGATTCTACTGTATTCATTTATGATATATAGCCTGGTGTCAGGTATTTATCTTTACAAAGTAATCTTTTTTTTTTCCAATTACAGTTGACATTCAATATTATAGTAATTTCAGTGTACAGCATAGTGGTTAGACATTTATATAACTTACTACAAAGTAATATTCTTTCTTGGAGATCTTGAGCATTCACCAAAGAACACCTCCCCATGACAGCAGCTAATTTCTCAAAACACACATCCCAAATATTTTCCCTTCCCACTGCCCTTTCTTGGTTCTCCAGAGTGTTCTCCAAAAGGCAGGCATCAAAGGGTTGAATAGAAGCAACAGCATCAAATGTAAAAAATAGAGATCAGTATAAATATACTTTAATATACAGTGACATATTCTTTAAGAAAAGATTCAA